AAGACTTGATCTTAAATCTGGGTAAGCTAGCTTTTCAACAACTGCAAAAGGAACATTTAATATTTTATGAGGAGGACCTGAAAGAGTGTGGCATTGATGTCACTGAGACTTCACCATGCTCTGGACTGTGTGCAGAAATCATTAAAGAAGAAGTTGCAATGTCTCAAAGGAAAGTGTACAGCTTTGTGCATCTGAGCCTTCAGGAGTTTCTGGCCGCCTTGTATGTATTTCACGTGCACAGAAACAGCAACAGGAACCTACTTGACAAAAGAGGAGCTGCAACAGTATTTGAGTTACACAGGAGTGCAGTGGATGAGGCCTTAAAGAGCAGGAATGGACACCTGGACCTTTTCCTGCGCTTCCTCCTTGGCATCTCACTGGACTCAAATCAAAGACTTCTACAAGAAATACTGATCCAGAGAGAGAACAGTTCAGAGAGTGTAACGGACACGGTTAAATACATTAAGAAGAAGATCAGGGAGAATCTTTCACCCGAAAAGTCCTTTAATCTGTTTGATTGTCTGAAGGAAATGAACGACAATTCTTTAGTGCAGGAAATCCAGAATTACCTGAGCTCTGGACATCTTCTAGCTAAGCGTCTGTCGTCTGCACAGTGGTCAGCTTTGGTCTTTTTTTTATTGACATCAGAGGAGGTGCAGGGAGTGTTAGATTTGAAAAAATTCAATCGATCAGAAGAAGCACTATTGAGACTGCTGCCAGTGGTCAGATGTTCCCACACAGTTCTGTAAGTATTCCAGACTTTACAGTGATAATAACACTGAAAAGCACATTATGTCATTGTTTAATCCAGTACAACAAGCTATACAGCATAAGATCCCACACATAAGTGAAAATACAGGTATATATATGAAATAATGGAGTGTGGGAGGTGGCTGTTAGAGGAGGGAGAGTCAGGTGAGCAAGGTTTCCCATTGATTAGTTACACCTGTCCCTCATTACCAAAGAGAGGACATATTTGTTGTATTGTGCTTTATTCTAACCTGTAAACTTGACTACAGCTTAGATTCCTGCTTCAGTGTTTTTTACTACTTTCATTTATACCCACTAAATTGTCATATTTGCATTTGTGTGAGGTTCAAACAATCCCTGTTGCATCTTACTGTAAATGAGACATTTGTTTAATACGTGTATAACAAATATACATAGATACTGCAGATATACACTTTGGGGCAAAAAACATGGACCAAAGCTTAATGTTGTGCAGTTTGGGTTTGGCCAAATTTTTGCCCAAGAGCAAACGTGATATCATAGAGCTGGGGTGGCCAATCTTATCCGCAAAGGGCCGCTGTGTGTGCAGCTCCCTAATTATATTACTAATTAGAGGACTGATTGGCTGAGGAGTCCTCACACCTGGGTTTGAACAGCTGACCTAAAGGTTATCCCAAAAACCTGCACACACACCGGCCCTCTGCGGATAAGATTGGCCACCGCTGCCATAGAGACTGCACTGCAAGTGTATTTTTCTATAAGGTGTTTGTACCAAAGCATATTTGTTGAATATTATTACATTAAATTAAATGCTTCAAGGTTGGATTAGCTTGATCAAATTTTGATGGACTCAGGCAGATTCTGTGGGCAAACAAATGTATGTTTTCATATAAATAAACAGACTGGAGATTCATTTTATTATCAGCATAAAGATTTTATTCAGTTCTAAACAAAAATTACATGGATACATCTTCTGCTCTAACTGGAGTAAAAAAAAGGAATTCTTAAGATGAAATCTTCTTTAGATCTTCTGATAATACAGTACACTGATTACTTACTGAACATACCTTTAATATGGTAACTTTTTCAGCCTGAATCAGTGTAACCTGTCAGAGGAATGCTGTGAAGATTTGGCCTCAGTTCTCAGCTCAGACTCCCCACAGCTGAGAGAGCTGGATCTGAGTTACAGTGAACTGCAGGATTCAGGAGTCAAACTGCTCTCTGATGGACTGAGGAATCCACACTGTAAGCTGGAGATACTGAGGTCAGTATTACTGGTGCATCAACAAATAACACCAATGACCCCATTGTATATGAAGTGACGCTCGGCTGCTTTAGTTCTGACATATCCCTCATTCTGTGGCATCAGTTCTACCTGGGGGGTATGGCAGTTTCTAGTGGAAAACCGAATATAAAGTTGTAACTAGTAAACTAGACTAGTGTGTGAGTCTTTAGGACAGGCTTCAGACCCCGTCTGACCCTGAATAGGACCAGCAGTTTCATAAAATGGATGGATGGACTAGGAAACTAATCAATTTTCCTCCATTTTTCTTTAAAAATAAAGTGTTGGCAATCACTAAAACGGTATCCCATTTGGTATATCTAAAATGAATCATCTTTTCTAGGCTATACCAGTGTAAACTCACTGGAGAATGCTGTACGTTGTTGGCCTCAAGCCTCAGCTCAAACACCTCACACCTGAGACATTTGGATCTGAGTTACAACGACCTGCAGGATACAGGAGTGAAGCTGCTCTCTGATGGACTGAGGAATCCACACTGTAAACTGGAGATACTGAGGTCAGAATTTTCTTAATTTTCTTGTTAATCTTAATAAAAATGATCACACATCTGTCCTTAGTGTTATTGGTTATTGAAATGTTATTAAAATGTTACTGAGTAATTAATGTGTGTGTGTGTAATGTAATGTAATATATATATATATATATATATATTATTCACAGGGTTGCTGTGGATTAATTTCGATTAATCACTATTAAATATAATTCATTTTTAATCTATATTAATCACATTTCATTTTGCATGAGCAAACAGACTCAAGAAAAAAGGGAATATACACTCACCTAAAGGATTATTAGGAACACCATACTAATACGGTGTTTGACCCCCTTTCGCCTTCAGAACTGCCTTAATTCTACG